TTCATCTTCAGACCTAAGCTTGTTACGGAAGGCTCGGGGCGCAAGAGCAATTTTTCATACCTTTTTGAAATTTCTGTACCCTTCTAGCCTTAGTTCTGAAGAGTGCCCTAGTATCTTATGTTAGCACATCTAGCTACTGAGCGGTAGCTGTTTCGTTGTGGCGGTAAAGTGCCCCGGGATTAATCACGATGCAAAAGTGTAACATCAAATTGTTTTCGTGACTAATCTGGAAAACCGTGAGAATTTATTATAGTTACCCTTCTGTTTGCTGTGAGCCGTGCGTAACCATGGTGATTACCTTACCTTCTACATAAAAATCGTGGAAAATACGATATTCTTTTAAAAGAGTTCCCCTTATGCTCTACAAACGTTAGAAATTTCTCGCGAGATGCGCAGCATTCGCGCAGTCTTTTTTCTCGAGGCCAGGCGTTGCACATAAAGGGGACACCGTTGTAACATGAATCACATCTTTTTCACTGATTCAACTTGCTACCGCTTCGAAGCGAGCACTTGATGCTTGAATTTTGCCCATAATATAATGAAATGGCAAGCGATTTAAAAAAAAAAAATTAGAATTCGTCGTGTCTTTTTGATTCCCATGAGCGCCGTTTCATTGCCTTTCGTTCGGTAATTCACGCACAGCTTAGACCGACGTCATAGTCGGCGACGGACCAAGCGATGGAGCGATCGCGATCGCTCCATCGCTTGTCCGTCGCTTGCCAATCGCTCTTGGTCGAGCGATTGGCAAGCGATTGCGCAATCGCTTGCAAAGTGCACAAGCGACGGGCAATGGCTCTGCTCGATCGATACCGCAGCCGACTGCATTGACTGGGGGCGGGGCCAATCGCCCGTCGCTTGTGCACATTGCGCGATTGCGCAATCGCTTGCCAATCGCTCGACCGAGAGCGATTGGCAAGCGACGGACAAGCGATGGAGCGATCGCGATCGCTCCATCGCTTGGTCCGTCGCCGACTATGACGTCGGTCTTAGAGCGACGCACCATCAACTATGAAAGCGCACTGTGCGCAGCCGACATTCCAGGGACCGTATCCTACTTTTCCTCAGCAAACGCCGCTGATCCTATCTTATGGCTGGAGGAGATAGGGTTGCGTCATACCACCAGCCATACTCTGCGTTTCTAGGCTCCAGACAACGCTACCCCTCAGAGAAAGGAACGAGGCGAGAGTAGCTACAACATCGCGCGTTAAATGGCGGGCCTCGTGGCGCAACCCCGTCTCCCCTGAGCTACGGCGGGGACGCGTTCCTGGGGGGAAGGAAAGAATACGGCCCCAAATGAGAGCGATGCTTTCCTCTACCTTTCCGGTGTCGCACGATTGGCATTGATCGGATTTGTGGGCGCAATTATAGGCTGGTGTCAGAGTCCGCGATCCATCGCAGGTTTCGCTGATTTTCGCGATTTGCGCGATTCACGCGATTTGCGATTTGCGCGATTTTCGCGATTTGCGCGAAACCTGCGACGGATCGCAAAAATTGCAAGTGCCCCATTTGAACATTTGAAACACTGAATATGAAACAAGTGGAATCATGAGCAGTCGTCATTCAGCCATCACTATCAAGCAGAAGTGGCGGCAGGATTGGAGAACACCTTGCAGTATTGATCGGGCACTTGTGATTTCCGTGACCCGTCGCGTGAATCGCGCAAATCGCGAAAATCAGCGAAACCTGCGACGGATCGCGGACGAAAAACGGAAAAGATGCGGCAGTTTGGGTTTGAGTCTCTTCCTCAAATTCCTCTAATTTTAAGTGAACGTGTAGTGTTTTGCTGCAGGGAATTTTTATCTATACATTTGAATTGAATTAGATTATTTGATCGAATCAGTGTTAGTGTACTAATGAGAGTGCGTGTTGCCTGTTTGGACGAGGATCACGTATTCGGATTTGAGACGGTTAAAATCAAGATAAAGCAAAGTTAATTATGAACGGAACATTACGAATGAGGCGTAGTTTTTGAACAAATCTTTTCCAAGCTTTTTCCGTTTTATCGAATATATACCCCCACCCCCTTCAACGACGTTTCGAAGAGAAAAGGCTAACGGAAGTGTGTCGAGTGATCTCAGAATCAAGTACTATAGAAACATACATGTTGATGAGGGTACTGAAGACAAAAATTTTGAAATCTGTGCACTGCACAGTTGACCCTCCTGCATCGTTAGCAAATGCTTTACCCATTCCAAACTTGACCCGCCGTGCTTAGGTGATTTTTGAGGCAAAAATTCAAAAAGTGTGGGAGATACTCATCATGTTCACAGTTCAGATGATTTCTTGCTAGATAAATTCAGAGAGTCTTCATCTTTCGCACAGTTCTTCAATTTACTCAGTATGGAATTAAAGTTTTTTTTTATCATGCTTGTACAGTTCTTCCCACAAAAGAACTATAGTTTTCACATAGCGTTGCCCTTCAGTATTTCGTGGTGATGAATGGCAGCGATGTTTTGCCAGTTTTTTTTTCATATTTTTTCCTTTTCCTGCCTTGCAGCGCATCTTTCGTCAAGTCCATACAAGACTTCGTCCATTCCTTTAGGTCTTCACACGATTCCTTTCCTTAACCCATTCGCGACAATGTCAGCCACCGGTGGCTGACGGGCTTTAAATGGAATTTTTGAAAACAAAAGGAGGTCTTTGGAGATTTTCTTTGCTGTGAAGAATCTTCATACCCTCATCTATCTAGGCCACCCCTGGGCAGAGGAAATCTCTATCCACTAGAATTTTATTGAAGAAAAAATATCCTGACTTCAAAATTTCACCGAAAAAGTTGAAAATTTTTTTCCGCTGAAACTTTTCCCATGGGGGTTTTCGAGGGTCCTGATCTCAAATATGATATCCATTTTTGGCGCTGGCGCCAAATTGGCGCCATTGGCGCCAAGGGTGTTTCACCAAATTCGCTGTAAACTTGCGTATAGGGGTTATTTGAGGCCCTGATTACGAATATGACATTCGTTTTTGGCGCTGGCGCCAAATTGGCGCCATTTGGCGCCAGTTGGCGCCAAGGGTGTTTCACCAAATTCGCTGTAAACTTGCGTATAGGGGTTATTTGAGGCCCTGATTACGAATATGACATTCGTTTTAGTCGTTGGCGCTATTTAACACCTGTTTCCTGCTCGCCTGCACCCTCTCACTATTGGATCCAATCAGGACTAACAAGGGGGGTCGTTCAGGATGTGGAAAGCTTTTTCGAAACGGTTTTCTGTATGTTATGGGAGCTCATGCGTAGACTACGAAACCGAGGTCCATTTTCGCTGAGCAGCCCCGCGAAGGCCAAAAAAGGTGAGGAAATGGTCCAAGGTTCAATCCCTCGTGATGACAAAATTTTTGCATTTAGGTTGGAGCTTCCAAATTTGCTCCTAAACACGCGACGTAGCGCAAATTGGCGTAGCAAGTGGCGTAAATTTCAGCTTATGTCAAATTTGACGAAATTCAGTCAGGGCGCCAAATGGCGCCAATTTGGCGCCAGCGCCAAAAATGAATCTCATATTCGTAATCAGGGTCTCAAATAACCCCTATATACAAGTTTACATCGAATTTGACGAAATTCAGTCATGGCGCCATCTGGCGCCAAATGGCGCCAGCGCCAGAAAATGGATCCCATAATCGTGATCAGGACCCTTGATAACCTCTATGGGAGAAGTTTCAGCGTGAACTACAGGATGATATATAGAAAAAACTAAAAAAAAACAAGATGGATTTCCCCTGGGACAATGTCAGCCACCGGTGGCTGACATTGCGCAATCGCCTCTGCCGGCGCTGGTCCGAACGGGCAGTCTTCGAAAATCCCGCCCGGTCGCGAGTGGGTTAAAACTGATCAGAACCCTTACATAGTCGTGTTGTGATTATTTGTGTTAGTCATTATATCAACGTTTGTTACAGTTTCTTTGAAAGTGAAGCTAGCATAAACTAATGAGCTAATGATCACCTTGAATACTCTTTTTGTACATTGAAAATTGACTGGTCCTTACTTCCCTTACTGATGGGCAAGGATTAACGACATTCCAATTGTATAGTCTCCGTCTGAAGGGCACGTGCGGAACGCAGACTAGGCCATTCTGTGAAACTCTATATTGAAATGTTTGAACAGAAATATGAGTGCCGAAAAAATTCATCTTTACCATTAAGGTAAAGATGCCTGTTGTGAATTATGAAGGATCTTTTAGGTTTGTTATATTAAGCACGATCGTTCAATTAATCTGATTCCATTGAATTATGCATAATAATTTGATTGAATATAGAAGTTGTTTTTGTTTCCAAACGTCCACTTCATTGTAGTAGTGGGAATATCTTAATTGGGAGCAGGCTCTAGAGAGTGGTTCGCTTTGGCATAAAGCGGCTTCTCCGCCTTTTACAGTGAGAAACTTTGCTTTTGAGAAAAGTTTTGCCCCGCGAAAAGCGGAAGGATCTCTTTCTGCTTCAGCGAATCACAAATCAGGTCCTGGAAACGTATAATAGCAGGTCCTGGAAACGGATAATAGCTTGTTCGTTTTTTTTTTGCTTTAATCGACTGTAGCTCTAGCTCTGCAACGAGATTAATAACATCGTGGAGGTGTTGCGCATCATTTTTTTTGTTGGTAGGGCAGCTAGGGCATAGGTTGCGATTCTCGCAGCATATAATTCGGAGCAGCGTAACGGTATATTGCTATGAAACAACTTGAAAGAAAATCAATATTGTGTCGTATTGATAGGGTAGAAGAGCTCTCATGTAAATTCTATATCTCTTCAGTTCTGGAGCGAATGAGTTACCAAAGGCAGACTGTCGCTTGTGACGTCTGTATCGTTCGTGCAGAGATGATCGACCAGTTTTCCGCTCACCGCAACATTCTTGCTTCATGTAGCCCTATTTTGATTCAATTTTACGATCAACTAAGGTTACAAAAGAACAGGTATCAGCGCAGATTTCCTAATTCATCATTGTTGCGATTGCCACCATATGATTGCAGGTGATTGTGAATTGTCAGCAGCCGAAAGCTTTCGAGTTGTTGTTAAACTACATGTATAGTGGATGTGTAGTGATTGATCGAACTACTGTGGCAGAGCTTCCTTCGACTGGCGAACAATTTTTTGGTATACTCTAGATACATTAGGCATCCGATTCTTGATTAGTTTTGTTTATTTCCTACTTGTTTAATGGTTGCAGGTCACAAGCTCAAGGAATTACTGTGCAGAATACTTGGACAGGTACCTGGACGCTGCTAATTCTCTGTCCGTACGGCAGCTTGCAACAAGATATAATTTGCCGTCTCTGCTGAAAGCAGCGTCTGAGTATTTCGATGTTAATATCAATCGATGCTTGCTCGAATCTGTCGACATTCTAAAGTACCCAATGCCGCAGCTACTCAAGATACTCGGAGGATCCGAAGTACCAGGACGTTATCAGCCCTGATGTTTATTTGAAGTAGGTCTAACGTAATTTTCAATCAAAACTTCCATTCCTGCTCTGATCGTTGAACTTTTTGTTTGTGAACTGTTAGTTTTATGTCAAATTAGATTCAGTTTTTAGGCTCATAGTGCGCTGGGTTGGCGAAGACGTACCCAGCAGGGAATCCTCGTTTCGACCTTTGTTAGAACGATGTCACATAGCTGATGTATCTGATAATGCACTTGAATTCGTCCTTGACTATTCTCCGCTTCTCACGAAGAGTCAAAGTTGCAGACATATACTCCTCGGTGCCATGTTAGTAGGAACTTTTCAAATTTTTTTTTCACGTTATCCCTATGGTTTTCGCTCCATACATGGGAAGCTGCGTTTGTGCTTCTCTTGGATCAGGTGCACCCTAAGTCTTTAAAGCGGTTTAGGCATGCCAGCGCCATTCCAATGCCCAAATATGAACAGCAGTTCATTTCGTTGACGCAACAGTTGGGAGGAGATGCCGCCGCGGCTGCTCTTCTGGAATCTACTGCAGGATTAACTGCTGGTGCTGATGAAGATTATGAAAATGATTCGAGGTATGTGTATGCATATCGTAAGCCTATCATTTACTTCAAATGCAAAAGTATTTGCCCTTAGATAAGTGTCAGACTGTGATTGCAGTCGCGAGTGTGGCGTGCCGTTGTTGAACCGGATAATTTGCATTCGAGGGCGCAAGTGGTGTTGGGCAACTGGCGCTGCTTCCCACTAGTGGTCGGCAATCGAATCCTAGATCATAAGTCGCCTTCCATCCCTATGGGGTCGGTTCATTGGTAACAGACTTGTCTGGAAAGATGAAAGCTACAGTCAAATTGCCACTAATGCTGGATGGCGCATTCCAAAACGGGGTTAATCAACGCTGAATGCTTCATCCTTTTATCCTTTACAGTGCATTACAGCGCTCCACCTCAGCCGCGCAACTGCATCGCAGTTGCAGTTGCGATGTCTAGCACCTATTTTAGTGACAAGCTTGCTGCAGTAGTGTTAAATTTTGGTAATTCAAAACTGGTGATTTTTTTTTTGAAATACTCACAAAATCGTGGTGCATGTCACTGCAAATGGCATGTATTATTTTTTCTGTTTCTGGGATGCTACTTCTTTGCACGATGGTGGCCCAAGCAGTATGAAACATTTACGATTTTTGGCAGAACATATTTTTCAATGAAATACATGCCTTCAAAGTTTTCCAGTTAGAACTTCACTACAGCTGAAAATGTAGATATGCAACTCATTCAGTTAGTTCTCAGCTGCAGAACTCGTGCATAGCCGCACCGCGTGTAATTGATTCTGTGATCACACCTTCTCATGTTCAAGATCAATTTGGGTGAAAGAAATGTTCACTCGTACTGTAAACCATTCCTTCCAAGTTCACTTTGGGGTCAGGTCATAGTTTACAGTTCGAGTATGCAGTGGACGCTCATTGATCATGCGATTGCACGATCGTGCGTATTCTATACTAGGAAAGCATGATGCGACCTTGAGACCCTCTCTTTACTCTTGTCTTCTGGAAATATTTGGCCAAGAAAGAAACTAATGTCTAGTGTGTGATCATTATTTTGATGTTATTAGCTCAGCGTTTGCCGCAATACCATATATATTCTTCAGTAATGAACTCGAAGAGAAGCCTTTTAACATGTACAGAAGAAATGTGCTCTCTAGGCAGAGACACGGACCATGGTGGACGACTTTCCCATTTGGTATTTTTTTTCAGTTTCGAACACATGGACGATGATGATGATGAAGAAGAGCCGCCAGTTGAAGGGAAACCCACCACAACGACAATTGTAGAGTATCTACGTGTTATTTTGGATCATTTGTTACACGTAAAAATTTCATTTCAGCTTGAAACAACTTACACGGAGGATGGTGTGGAAAAGCCTCGCTTACGTTTGAAGATCAATTTGGGGGCACTTCCCTTATCAGATATCAACAGAAAAAGGTCAGTTCATATTTGTTGCAGTTGCATTTGAAAGTTCTCATGTCTAGTTTTGAGGTTTGGCAAATCCAAACATCTGCGTAAATCTCACAACAGCGAGAAATCAATCGTGAAGAAAAGAGGCCGACACAAGAGGACTGACGACACTGAGAGTTAGTTGGCTTCTCCAACTTCTTCAGCGAATACTTATTTCTTCTGCAGTTTTGCCAATGGTGGATGACGATGATGTCGATGGTGTTTACGCGACGTCATCCCTTGTTGGAGCTGTCACCTACACTGAAGAGGATGCTATCGATCCAGAAGAAGTGGAAGACGGAGAAGACATACACGTCGAGGGCGGTCAACATACTTGCAAGTTCTGCAAGTTCGCAAGTACTTCAGCTGAGGTTTGGATTGTTTGTTTGCGTTTTGTGGTAAATCTCCTAATTCCTTGTTTTTAAGGAACTCGACAAACATCGCGCTCGACAGCACAATCGTAATACCGGCTACGTATGTCAGCTGTGTGATTACGAGGCGACATGGAGCAAAACGTTTTATGAGCACTGTCGAGAACACTGGGTGAGACTAATAAGATGACCTACTTTTTCTATTCCGAACTCATATATACTGCTTCGAAGCAAACAGGTATCATAGTACTTCTGTATGAGTCATTAGGACACTTTTCAAAATTCGTACTCTCTTCTTGGCACACTTTTTCTTATGACACTGCTGATTTTTTTTCTGATTACATTGGTTTTCTCCGCTTTTTAATGCATCCCGCTTTCGTCACCTTTGCTTTTCTTTTGTTCTATTCAAGGGAAGCTCGTGTTATGTCTCATTCTGTTTGTAACAACGTCTTCTTGTGAAATACTCACAAATCTATTCAGAGAATCGTTAAGCAAATTTGGAAGGCAGATTTGAAATCAACACCCAAACAGCAATTAGATGCTTTATATCTTGATGCTTCAAGAAATCGCATTTACCACATTTCTAGCTAGCTTGAATTGGGGCAGCAAATGAAGACCACTATTCGTTCCAGGCACAAGCTCCTTACTCATGCGACCAGTGTCCATTCGTAGCTAAAGACTCACTTCATGAACTTCTAGCGCATCGCCTAACTCATAGTAGGTTTTGTTTGGTTGTTTGTATTTTTTTTGGTTTACTCACAGTTTCCAAATGATGTTACCTGGGTGCTAGGCTTAGGCGAACACTGTCTTGACGGGACTCACGCAAGGTAGTACATAGTCAGTGTCAGTAATACATGACAAACTATCTGTTCACCACCATCGTTCAGAGTTACGTTACATATTCAAGGTGGGACACAAATACGGTGACAAAATAATTGTGACATAGTTCAAACCAGAAAGATCGGATCGAGAGATCAAAATGGCCATCTCGCCTACGAACTTGGCAATTTCCTACCTGCTCTACAGAAATTGGCCTTTGCGCCATGATATCCTTCAACCTTCGTCTCCTACTCTTTGAAGAACAGCTTTCAGCGACCTATTCAGACTATATCGTTTCGCGCACTTCTTCAGCTTCTACATCGACTCAATGAATAATCCGCGAAAAGTTTCAGCTGGTCAATCTGCAGCTCAGAGTCGGACAAGTAGGCTCTGCAGCAGACTTTCACAAAGGTCAATCCACAAGACGAGTACGTCGCTTAGCTGGGTGGTTGTATTTGATTTGCGTTGTTCCTGCTCTGCTAGCTTCTTCGGAACTCCTAGTAATTACTTCTGAGAATTCTCGAGAGAAGGTGTGATCGTCCATGGGAATCTTGAAGGTTTTCTCGTTGGTGTGCATACAGGTTATATACGAAAGACATGACAAATCTGAAGGACTAGTCATGAGCTCTAGTCATTGTTCAGTAAATGTATTTGCTGTAGTTCAACCGTCACCATATTCATGCCCACTCTGTAGACGCGTTCGAGTCCAAGTCCAGGTGGTGGACATAATTCAGTCACATTGCTGTAACCTACTACTTTTCATGATACACAAAAACTTTGTCAAATGTAACTTGTGCGTTCGTTTTCTTTAGCAACCGAGCGTTTCTTCAAATGTCTCGAATGCAATTTCCGAGCTCGCTCCCGAACCCAACTTTGGGCCCATGAACGAATGCATAGCAGCTTAGATGAACGGCCTCTCCATTGTGAAGAATGTGGTCGAGGTTTTAATACTCACACCGCACTGGAGATGCACTTTTCATCTCATGACGAGCCTCGGTAGGTGAACTCGTTGCAGTTTCTGCTTGTAGTACCACATACTGTTTGTGTATAAAAGGGTGACAGCTTCCTTACAGGAAATTAGGATGAATTCGTAGTTCAAGCTGTTCTTGTGCTTTCTCTTGTTTACAGATTTCGATATAGTCAGGCGGAATTCTGCCTAAATACAGGACACAGAGTGTTAAATCGCCGCATTAATGCTTATGCTCAAAATTGTAGGTCTTTGGTTTGCGAAGACTGTGGCTTTGCCACTTCAAATGCGGACCATATGACATCACATCGTAGGCAGCATACTGGAGACATGTTCTACTGCCATATTGGTAAGAGAATTCGTCCATCGCGCACCATACTTCGTTGCCAAGTGGCCATATAACTTGTTTTATTTCCATCAAATTTCATAAGCTAACCTACAGATAACTGCGACTACTCCTCACCGAAGAAAAGTCAGCTGGCTGCTCATTTGAGAACACACATGGCTGTGCGAGCTCCACATGTGCAAAGTTAGTTCGTATGCGTTCCAGGTACAGATTCATATACTCAAGAATGCACATTTTAGATTTGTGGCCGAGGCTTCATCGAAAAATCTCATCTAGTTCGCCATGAGAGAATTCATCTTGAAGATAAACCATTCAAATGTGACGCTTGTGATTATGCTTCCAGTCGTCGTGATAAACTGAAGGTACTTTCTTCCAGGGTATTCCTATTAAATAAATGTTTGTATCAAATAGGAAGATAATACTTTTATCTTTACCCCAATTTAGGAGCACATTCTCAAACACCACAATGGAACTATGGTCAACAAGTCACAGAGACGTCGCTATCGAAGGGCTAAACAGCTGGCTGCGCTTACTGCTCAGGTGAGTCCACTTTGTCATTCGGAGTTTCACTCGAATCATACCTGGTTATACGTCGCATAAACAATGGACAAATCGTTACTAAAATCATTAAGTAGATGAGATGATATGCCGGTCAGCTAATTAGGTTTCAGTAGCCGAGTAAAATAATTTTTTCATTTAGCAGAGTTACCCAGAACCCAAATTTCGAACCGTTTATTTTCAAAAGTTTTGTTGTTCACAGCAAAAGGGCTGCAAGCCTCAAACAAGCGGTGAGGGGCAGGGTTCCGTTTAGCATCTTCTCTTTTTCTTTTGATCTCGAGAGATATAGAAAACATGGGATCCATATTCTGGGTCACACTGATGAGAGTAATTGTGTTGGCTTGGTCATGATCATTCTAACAATTCAAGATGAGTCATCCTTTATTCCCAATTTTCGTTTGCAGTAAAGTAATATGACAAAATGAAACATTGGTTATTAACAGTTTCCTCAATTTGGTTAACATGGTGTGCAGGGCTTTGCTCTCGTTTAACAAGGAATTCGAAAGTAAAAAGAAAAAATAATGTTTTTAATTTTGTTGGTAGATTTGCTTTGTTGACTTTTTCTATTCTGGCGACTTTTTCATTTATTTTACTTATTTAAGCTGCCGGATCGAACTGCTCCACCTGAAGCAATGTTCCGCCCGATTCCCGCGAGCGAATCCGTATCACAATGGGCAGAATCGCAGTCGTTCCAAGTAGGAATTATCATGTCATTTGCCTACTTTCGCCTCTAATCAAATTTGCAATTTTTTATCAGAATGAAGAGCAGTATTCTCCTCAACACGCTCAGCGATTGAATGCAACAATTGCTGGTCAAGCAGGGACGTCGCAGTCCATTGCGGGTTTTTCACCACTGCCTCGTGCCTTCTCCGTGGCAAATCCTGCTGCACCACCCCTTGCGGGATCAATGTCTCCTGGATCAATGTCGTTGATGAACGTTCACCTAGGAGGTGTGGATTCACCCTTAATAGAGAAAAACAACATCAACAGCACGCCATCATTGGTCACGCCAGTTCCTGTGCCGAGGTTTGTTGCCGTTCTCTATCAACCTTGACTGAGTTTCGGTTGTTTTTAAGTTTGCACATAAAACTTTAGATTTTTGAAACTAAGAAAATCATTACCATCAATGCGAAATCAACCCCATTAATGTTATTCATATTAACGGGATTCATAATCCGTTTTTGATCTTATTTCGTTATGACTTACATAGATTAAAAGCGACGATCCAAAAACATATCTCTATGGTTCTTTGCTGATGTTTATGTTTATGTTTATTATGCCCGCTTAACACGTTGACGACAAGCGCGTTTTGTGCTTTTGCACCGCGTGGGACAGCGATTTTGCGAGCGCAGCCGCCGCACACCAAATCCATGGATTTTAAGTTGTAAATCCGCAATACTTAGATGCGATGAAATGTTTTCAATGATGTTCGATCTGTCTAGCTTATCAGGAGTTACAGTAATGGAAGTTTGACCGAAATGACGTGTTAAGGCCATGAAAAGGGAAATTTTACTTAATTTCCTTTAGTGGTTCCAAAATTAATTTGGACGTGGTTGTTTCAGTAAAAACACATATCTTCCCATACGAATAGGTTTGTATTCACTTCTATTATTCCTTTTTATCAACATGTTACGTTATTGAAAAGAAAACGAGGAATGAACTGAACAGACATATCCGTAAGGTCTGGAAAACCTCTGCCAAACTAAAGAATATTTGGCCTTTCTGTGAGCCATGTGGTTTTTAAGTATGCTAATGTATGACCTATAGAATGAGTACAAAGACCTTAGGAATAAGTCGCACAAGCGCAAGAAAAAGGGATGACTTGGGTGGGACGCGTTACCGCGTCACAATGTCCCACGAGGTGCGCAAAGTGGGACGCGTTACCGCGTCACGCTGTCGTCAACGTGTTAAGGCAAAGGTTAGAAACAATGCATAACTTAATGATTTTTTGAACTGATTCATTTTTTTCTTTCGTTTAGAAAAGTTGCTGCAGTTATAAGTTTCTACCTAAAACATTTTCCGAGTCCACATCACTACGTGTTGCAGGTCTCCTCACAATCGTTCCGATCCTTTTGGCATGAGTACGCCAACTGATTTGAATCGACCTATGAGTTTACCTCCTTATGGTCAAGCGCAAACATCTCCACAGCCGTCAACAAGTGAACAGCAACCGAGTTCTGGCCAATGGTTGTGGTAAATTGTTTATATTTGTATGTACGTTGTCATTATACATTTTATAAGTTGTACATAGATAACTGTTGATTTGAATTGTGCACGTTTTCCTGTCGGCGAATTATGCATGTTGTCCTGTCACGTCAATCTAAGATATATATTTCAAGTCGCGTTCTTTTTACAGTACGGTTATTCCACTGACAGGGAAAGGATCTTAGGTCGCCATTGCCATTCAAGAAGAGATGTCAGCGCATAGATGTGCCTTTGAACGCTGATCTCAAATCTACCTTCCAAATCTGCTAAACGATTTTCTGAACAGGAGTTATGAAGCAAAACAGCGCAACGGTAGTGGTCGGGACTCACAATCAGTACATCGTAGGGTCATCTTTTTGTCGTAATTTTGTTTCGCTCTTTTCGGAAATACAGCATGAACCCTTCTCACGGCCTATTCAGCTGTAGCTCTTTTCGGAAATACAGCATGAACCCTTCTCACGGCCTATTCAGCTGTACTGACTTAACGCGATGAGGGATCAATCCTTTGACCTCTTGACTTTGAGGCTCGATCACTACCGCAGTGCTATTAGCTTTACGTCTCCGTCAGAGAACCGTTTAGCAAACTTGTGAGATAGACCCGATATCAACGTTTGAAGGGATCTTTTCTTGAATGGTCACGATGATCTTGAATCCTTTTCTCGAAAGTTTGTCCATGAACTTTGCACAAGTTGATCGGATATTGTAAAAAATAATCACTCAATG